GACACATAGATTTTTTATTGGAGGAATAAATTAATTATGACTTATTTCAGCATTTATTTCATTTTCATTCTATTGCTCTTATTTTTGAAAGTTCAGGTGCTGTTAACCCCCTATCTCTAGTCCTTCCCCTAACACTAGTCTGACTAGTGCTGTGATGGACCTCAGCATTGTTTAGCTAAAATCCAGACAGCTGCAGAATGCAACTGGGGGCAGTGATTCTTCTTCTGCTCTAGAAAAATGGAATTAGCTAGACAGCAACTCTTACTAGAATCTGTCTCAGATAGTGAAACAGTCCATGTGCCACGCAAGCAAACTCACCAGGGCTGCAGAAGAGCCACAACTAACCTTGCTACCTGCAGTTCATTATAGTGGAGTTGGAGTCATTCCAGGATGGGAGGAACTGACTTGAGAGGGAGTATATGCACTTATATGGACAGTCCATAGGAGCTAAATAGTTGAATTCTTTTTCTTTTTCCAAAATATGGTTAAATAAAAATAGTGCCGGGGAACCACTTTGAAAGTGTTGTTTTCAAAATTACCACTAACTTGACAGTGGAACAAGCTGAACCATAGCAAACCTAACCAATGGTGTAAAATAATGTTAAACTGTTGAGAAAAAAGTAGTTCAATGTACATTATTCAGTTGGTAACTGAGTCAGCTTTGGGTTTACATACATGTCTGTGAGTCAGAACCCTGCCTTCTAGAGACTTGAGTCCAGGTGGGGGTATTGCATGCAGCAGAATAACTCATTCAGCTCAAATAGCATGTGACAACTTGTCTGAACATTTGTTTATCTATAATGACATTGCTGTATGAGCTCTGAGCCACACTCACCCTTTTGCACATGTTCCACAAGTTGCCTATGGATTAACCCTCTGTGGTCTAAGTCGTCATTCATGACAATCCAAACCCTAACCCTAACTATAACCTAACTTATTTTATTTAAGAAAATGTTCTTCTCAAGTCTTGGCTAACAGTGAACAAAGAAGATAACCATTCAAACTGATCCTAAAAACTGTTTACATTTTTTCTTTTTTGACAAAAAACATATATTTCTCAAAAATATAGGGTTGGGGTTAAAGTTAGGGTCGTCACTTTAAGGGTTACCTGTTTAAAACTCCAGCAACACTTGCAGGATACATAAAAACCTTTTTGTTTGACTCATGCAACAATGTTTGACCAAATGCATGTGTCTTTAGGGTCAGCTTTGACAGCTTCATAATTTGTTGTCTTGGAAGTAGGTTATGGTGTGCCAGAAGCGTCTACTTTGTCTTGACAAATGCATTAAGCCATATTCATAGCCACGCATTGTTTTCATAAATGTCTTCATTTACATACTACACCTAACTAAGCAGGCAACCAGCAGGCATCCTATTCAGATGCCTAGACCAGCTCTTCCAATGTGGAAGGATCACTTCTGAATCACAAAGCTCCTCATCCTGCCTCTATTGTAGAGTCGGAACAAGAAACTTATTTCCTGCCCTGACTGGAAATGAGCTCCTCGCACACAGCTCTTGATCATAGACACCACACCATCCTTCCATCATAAAGGATGGCAGGGTACCCATGAACATGACCCTGAGATATGAACTCCTCGATTGGGGGCAAGTATGAATGCCACCATTTCCCCATTGAGAGCCATAGCCTCAGACTTGGAGGTGCTAATTCTCACCAAAGCCGCTTCACGCTTTGTTGCAAACCACCCCACTGCCACTGTGACCTGGAGGTTACTGTTTGATGACAGAACCACATCGTCTGCAAAAAGCAGAGAGCAGATCCTGAAGCCACGTCTACAGTAGCCTGGATGAATTTGAAAACGGTGTTTTCGTCTGAAAACGCTCTGCGTCCGCACTATCGTTTTCAGTCGCTTTCACAGAGTTGTGCGTCCACATTGAAAAGGTCGAAAACACTTACATTCCAGTACTGTGCATGCGTGAAACGCAAGACGATTCGACCTTTTTTTTAAATGGACTAACAATGAGGTGGAGTTGCTGCTGTGAGTAACACAAAAGTGCAAAGTTGCAAAAGCGAGCGAGAATTAAAGAATTTGAAGAAAAGCTATGTGGAGCATGTACAGACTGATATCAATCCTTAATAGATTGAGAGCAAACAAAACAACTGCTGTTTAATGCCTCCTCTATCTTAGTTTCATTGGTCACATGACTGCATCACATGACTAAAATGTGTCATCGTTTTCCAAAAGGCTCCGGGTTCACTGTCCACACTGTTCGCTGTCCACGCTGTGTCCACACTGTGATGCCAAAGTATCCGCTTTGGAGAGCGTTTTCAAAACGCCGTCTCAGTGTGGACAGAAAGCCAAAACAAAGAGAAAAAGATGTATTAGTGTGGACATGGCCTGAGACCACCACCATTTTCTTGACCGCACTTTGGCTGAACCAAGGAATTCTATCCAATAAAAAAAAAATGCAAATAGAAATAGTGGCAAAGGGCAAAGTCCAGCTTCAGCCCACTACAAAAAAAGTTATCACATTTTAACAATGACCCCTGCTGATGCAATACAGCTTATGGATGCCTATGGATGGCCACCACAGTACCATGACAGGATCTTTACCTGGGTATGCCATCATAGTGGGAAGGATCTGGACAGGAAAAGAGCCTTTATTACAGTAGACAAGTGATATTTTTTAAACTTCCTTTCTTTTTATGGCCCACAATTTTAGTTTTAGTTTTAGAAGTTAATTAACTACCAGCAAGCTCCGGGAAAATGTTGTTAAATTACTTGTTTTATTACATGCCGTTCTCTACTCCCCAACTCTAATTAAAACCTTTCACAGTGAATGGCTCAACAACAAACATGCCAGCATAATCCCAGAAAGATACATTCTGCAACAACTGAGCAAACTACACGGAGAGTTCAGCAGAAATATAAGCTATATAAGCTATCAAGTGGTTATTTAATTGATTTTTTTTGTCTTTGGCCATTAAAAATGTCACTGTTAGAATTAACTGTTACTGAAGTGAGTCAAATCCATGCCCACCCACATGCACTGACTTTGAAAAAATCTTTAAGGCCCATTTCCTGATTTCAATGAGAAAAGCAGTTACACTTAGCACATAAAATGGTTTGAGCTCCTGCCTTTCAAAAAAAAAGTCCCTAAACTGAGTACAGGACTTTCTGGTTTCCCTGAAACTACCAGGAAGAGGTCTCGTATTATCAACTGTCGGACTTGATAGTACTTTAAGCAAAAGTTGTGGGAAAAAACCCCCCAATAAACTGCAACTGAAATTCAACATCTATTAACTCGCTTTTGTCTGCTGTTGTACTTAAAAAAAATCAAATGACAATTATATGTGCCCTTTAAGGGCTTTTGATCTTAAGCTGCAGAGACGGACACGCAGCATGCACAATTCAGATTTAGATAAACACACACTTATTTACTGGAACTTCAGAAACCTAGACACAATTGGGATAGCATAACTTCTGTTCTCATTTTTCACTTCTGTGAATCTGTGTGTAAAAATGTTATTGAATCCATCATCAGCGTCTTCCTAACAAGCGCTTCAAAAGTGCTGTAACACAATTAAGGATGCAAAATGCTGACTTAAAGTTCTCAATTTTAGTTCCCTCTGAGCCATCATCGTTAAAAGTAAAATAAAAAGCTACATTTCTACAGCATTTCATATTTGAGGGGATATACTCATACAGAGGTACAGAACCTGCATATTAGGTATATAGTTATGCTACTTTTTCCTCTGTTTAGTCCTTCCCCCCAACCTCATCCCTCCCACCTCCTTTCCCTGCTCCCTTCTTTTCAAAGTATTGTCACCCTAGACGGTTCACACGGTCTCCTCTTCACCATGTTTCCGGTCATAAATCTCTACAACACACCGTGAAGGCACATCCCCTGAGACGGATTTAACACAACACTCCGCACCCCACTGGTGCTCTGAGAAAAGGGCAACAGGAGCTGGCACACTGCCACACACACATTTGCAAACACTCCAACCAGAACTGACACTTTCCCGGTAGATATTTTGTTGAAGGAATCCAGGAAATGAGCAAGGTAGAGGCTGACTTTAATGAAAGTAGCAATGAAACTACTGTGGAGAGACCGTGGGGAACGAGTGAGGTAAGAATTTAGAAGACAATTCTTTCTTTTTTTTTTCTGTGTGTGTGTTACGGCTTGAGTTGGACTCTGACTCATGGTGCTTGTAGGGGGTTTTCGGTGACTCATGCTTTTCTCAGAATGGGCCTGTGGAATCCCTCCGATAAGACTCCCCACCCCAGGAAATTGGATAGTGGTATTTGTCACATTGTGTGTCTCACTAATGCCCCACAAGCCCTCCTCTTCATCGACCACCTTCCCCCGTCTTATCCCTTCTTTCCTCAGGTCACAGCACATGTCACCCACCTACAGTGCTCTGCCAAATGTCAGCTTCTTTGCTCTCCCTCCCCTCCCCGCCATCTTTCAAATGAGTAGCCTATGGGTGGCCCCAGTCTGCACTACGAACGCGAAAAACTAAACCAGTGACAGCCTGTTTGTTTTTTTACCTCGCCAACAGCACCCCACACCTACTCTCCCACACCAAACTACTGCCATCAAACAAGCACCATACATATACTCCCCTGCTGCCACATCTACCATGCCACACACACTCCTGGACCACATTCTTACATCCCTACCCCCCACACTCTCCCACACCACACACCCACAAACACACCTGACCGACTTCATTTCCTGTGAGGCATGAGTCAGACGGCTGGAGTGCATTTACTGGAGTAATACATGGTTATTAGCCATTCTGATAATATAGTGTTGATGTGGCTGTCAAGGCAACCTGGGCTGCAAAAAAGGGGGATTGTGTAAGTGTGGGTGGTTGGGATGAGTCTTTGAGGATTCTTTGGAAGTGTTCAGGCATGCGGTGGGTCTATTTGTATGTCCGCAGGTGTGTGTGTGTGGGTGTGTGTGTGTGTTTGAGGGACAGAGACGAGGTATAAAGAAACAACAGAGATAAAACAGCAGGGAGAACCAGTCACCTGCTTTTTCTTGTAGAAACCCTTCCTGTCACAGTTGGGTATGCGGAAGCCTCTCGGGTTAAGCACGTTGCTGATTTTAAGGCTGTTAAGGATGCTCTCCATCTCCCGCCGACATGGCCCCTAGCAAAATAGCAAACAAAAGCATTAATATTAGGCCGCCATCCTTACACATCCACAAACAGGAAGAACACCGGGCACAGCCATGCAAGTTCAAAAGTTTGTGGTGAACGTCAAAGCCTATAAAAGGTACCGTGTCGAACCTTTAATGTTTTTATCCTACTAATCGGCTCCAAAGCTACAAGCTAAACGTATCATATCAATTCTGATGTAATCCATTATTCTTATACTTATTCTTATAATATGTTTAACATGCCATTGAGCTTCTGGAATTTCCCTGCGGTTTTAAATAAAGTTCTGTAAGTTTGAGCAACCTATGCTGAGCCCGTGTTGAAGTGCAGAAACAAACACACTGTAAGGTCCAGGTTGAAGAGGTTAAATCACAAAATGAGATAGTCACTTTGTGAAAAAGTGGTACCTTCTGTTAAAAAATGTTTGTAATCAAAACTACTGGTGTTTAAACAATAGTAGATAACATAAAAGTACCCTGTGGATTTTTGGACCACAAATTGCACCGTATAGCTCCGCTATAATGAGAGATTTGCCATATTGTTTGTATTTTGTTTCTTTCCTGCACGTGAAAGAAGCTACACATTCATACCACCTACCATAGCTTGACAGTATGCATTTATGCGATCATAGTTGGGCCACAGTGGAATGTTGACCCACTTTATCTATGAGACAAACTGGCTAATGCACAGTTTGCTTCTTTATAGAGAGCTTTCTTTTGTTAATTCAACACTAAATAGTGCCAGAACTTGGTATAGTTTGTTGAAACCTGGGTTGCAAATATTCCTCAAGAACAGGCAAACACATATCATCATTTACATTTCACTGCTTCAAATGGTGCCGCAGCATCGTGGCATATCAGCAAGCATAATACATGTCTTGATTGCAGCTATTGATTTGAACACTCTTCTATTTTCACTCTCTGGCATTTCCAACCTTTTTCTCAAATGTAATGTCTCAAAAGTATTTGTTATCAGTGCCATATGATAATAGCTTTGCATACATATTGTAGTTTGTATTGTATTGCACGTGTGTATAAAAGTGACCTGAAGTTTGCCAGTTTAAATATTTGTGGTTGCAATCACCTTCACATATCAGAAACATCTCTGTTTCAGTTTACAATTATAGTTATTTTCCATGACATCATGAATAAAACGCTTTTGTATTAAATCAAGGTGGATATCATGCTGAATTTCTACATGCTAATGTAATAGCTCACAGTAAGTCTGCTTTTATGGTTACAGAATTATGGTACGTAATGAAAATCTCTGTGGAGAATATAAATGGGATTTTTATTACGGACTGTTACACTCTATGACTATGCTGCTTTCCCAGAATATATAATTTTTATGATGCACAGTTTTAATAAAAAGTACTTATAAATAATGCAGCTGACCAACTACTGTTACCTTTGAGTTCAAAAATTAATATTAGTCTTAAAGTACAATAATTATTGCAGTGAAAAGAGCTAGGACAGATAAAAAGCTAGCTAAAAACCTAGCAAGCTAACAACCTCCTAACAACTCTCAGTTGCAGACTTTTCAAGTAGCAACTTACTTTCATTTCTGTAATTGGTTGTTTTTGTTTTGATTGCAATTGTTTCCCCCATAGTGTTACAAAATGGCTAAAGAGCTCATTTTAGTTGGCTAGCAAAAAAAAATAAAAAATTCTGCTGAGACTGTGACACTAGTCTTTCGTCTCATCTTTGGGATTTGTGCCATTACTGGGATGGCCAGTGTGCAAGGCAGTGTTGTTAGAAAGCAGGTGTGCAGTAGTCCTTTTGGTAAACACGTTTTATTTGACAGCAAATAAAAAATGGCCATAAGCATGTGGATTGCTGATTCAGCAATCCACATGATGCGAAAAAGTGACACAAAATAACAAATTTTTCAGATCTGAACTGCTCGTGTAATGTATATCCACAATGAAAGTGTTGTGTTTGGGGAAAATTTGTCTGAGGAAAATTAGTGTTACTTTACTATTTACTATTACTGTACAGATGAACATTTTGAGCTATGGTCAAAATTGTTACAGTGGCCTCATTATTCAAATCTGTTTAATCAGATTCAAAAAATCTGAAATATCAAACTTGGTTAGAAAAAATAAATGCCGCAAATTTGTCCAGCAAAATTACGAGGTCATAATTTAAACTACTATTAACGCATGATATAGTCACACAGATTTTACACGTCTGGTGTGTAAAGGCCTAAATACTGAGGCCTAGGTTTGAAGCTTCCCTGAGGGCATTTACTGTGTCTTCTCCTTGGTCCTTCTCCCAGTGTTCCTGTCTTCTGTCCACTAGCTTATTAAAATCAGGCTGAAATGCCCCAAAACAATACATACAAAGAAAGGCATGGGCATTTTATATATTTTAGTGAGATTCCAGGTATTTTTTTTTTCGAAAAATAGCAATAATCTCATAGTTTTAACAGAAATTTCATTGCCTGGTGTGACTTACATACTCATTCTCCCTCTTGCTCTCCACAGAGAAGTTGTGCACATCCGTATTGGCTCCTCCTGATAATGATTCCACCTTGTAGCTCTGGGTCTTCCTGTTCTCACCCCTCTGAATTAATATGTTGTGCAAAGGAGGCCTGGTGTCCATCGAGCCCCTACTATGTCCATCCTTCACAGTTCCCACGCCAGGAAGCACTGTAATTGTCTGGGTGACATTGGCAGAGTCTTCGACCTGATTTCCAGCATTTTCTACATGGACAAAGAAAAGTTCTCAATTTAACAATTTTATGGTTTCATACATATAAATTGGTGCTTAATAAAGACAAATAGTGACATTTAATGGTTGATTCTCTGTCTTGATTCTTGTAAAAATTTTACAACCCTCAAGTCAGTTTTAAAACTTGTCATATCTGGATTAAATTAAGAAAAGACACCAGAGATTGTTAGGTGTTAAGTTGTCTAAATGTAAAGAAGAAGCTTTTTGTAATCTGAGTCAGCCACACACAAGTGTGTGAAACCTGTCTTCCTTCTCTCTTCCCAACCGGTCATGGCAGATCATCGCCCCTCCCTGAGCCTGATTCTGTCGGAGGTTTCTTCCTGTTAAAAGGGAGTTTTTCCTTCCCACTGTCGCCAAAGTGCTTGCTCATATGGGGTCATATGATTGTAGGTTTTTTCTCTGTATGTATTATTGTAGGGTTAACCTTACAATATAAAGCGCCTTGACGTGACTGTAGTTGTGATTTGGCGCTGTATAAATGAAACTGAATTGAAAGTGTATTTAGGTTTGTTTGATATGGACGTAAAATTGCCATTTCTTTGTTTCGTTAATATTTAATGGAAACATCTTCCTATTATCTCTTTTCTGAAGCACAAGTGGAGCTTAAGCTGCGACCTCAGAATCAAAAGCCAACATGTCATCGCTGTTCTGTTTTGTATAGAAATTGCCATATTACAAAATGACTGCAAAATGCTCGCTTGTGCTCATTCAATCCAGCAGGAAATTCTTGACTGTGTATGAGGACCCTGTTAAAAGCAGACAAAATAAAGTTAGCTCATTGCCTTGTGGGATGTTTGGAGCCAGAATTGAAGCCAAGTAATAAACAGAAACATGACAATTTCATATCCACAAATTTCCACAGTATGCAGGCCAAGAGATAGAGTCACAAGGAGGAACTGAGCGTAAACAAGACATTTTAAGGACCTTTAGAAGAAACGGTTGTATATATGTTTATGTGTGCATATATAAGGTGGGGAGAAGGCTGGGACAGGTATATTAATAGCCAGTGGTGTTGGCAAAGATTCCTGTCAAATTGTTAAACACAGCAAATCAGGGACCATCTGTCTGAGAAGAAGAGGGGGGCTTCAGATGTTCCTCACTGAAATAGGAGAGGACCAAACTACCACCCATGTGCCACCCGGTCGACCACACCACCGCAAGGCCACAGTGGAAGGAGCTTACTGATCTCAGAGACGACGTCCTGGAGAGGCAGAGGGATGATGGGAACACACATGCAGCGACTCACACACACATACACACCCAAACACAGTTTTAAACTGTTAACTCAAAGCAGATTTTGTGTTTAAGAGCTGTGGTGAAGGCGGCGGACGGGCATGTAGGGGTGTAGCTCGTGTGGGCAGGCAGGCTAGCAGCCCACCCTTTCTCTGTGACCACCTGATCAGTTAGTGATGCGGTGGAGCTCCACAGTCTCCCAGGCTCACGAGAACTGAGAACAACAACTTAGATGTCAACAACAGCGTGTGCTGCAATAGAGCAGAATCGGAAAGTGCCTTTCAACCTGAGGCACCCTCCACATGTTTTGCCCCAAACTTTTCAATAACAGCCATATATGTCCACAAGCAGGGACAAAAGAATTATGCCCTGTTTTAGATTTCTGCAAGCATTCCTTTTTATTGTCAATATAAACTTTTTTATAACCCTTCTAGGAAGTCTGGGGTGTTTTAGATTGACACATTACGCAATTTGTTTGTATAATAGCACAGGGGTAAACAGCACAAACTGTGGTGAGGAGGAGAGCTTGTTAATGTCTGGGAGGAGATCCTGTGCTGAATCTGGGGACATGGCTGTGGAAACCGCTGAGCTGCATCAACACACTCTGACCAACAGGGGCACTTGGGGTCATTTTCCTCCTCTCCGCCTCCTTTTCTGGATCTCTTCTCCAGTTGTGCAGATGGAGAAGGAAACAGATCAATACCCATGTCAATGCTGTTACTGGTAGTTCTCATTTTAGGTGGATCTCTTTGCTCCCCAATGAGTTTAGTTTGTCATAAATTAGAGGGTGAGGTAGTGAGAAGAAGCAAAGCTGGAAAGTAAGTGAAAGAGTGAGAACTTTGTATTTGTGTGGGTGTGTGTGTGTGTGTGTGTGTGTGTGTGTGTGTGTGTGTGTGTGTTTATGTTTGTATGACACTGTGACTGCTGAGTGCTTGTACACCACGCATTAGTGTGGCCAAACCAAACAACCAGGAAAAAGAAAACACACACACGGGCTCTTGGGTGCCTGACGTCAGTTGTGTGCCCAGACGCACAACCATGTGTATTCACATGTAGGTGACATGTGTGCCATTTGACTAGTGTGAGCAGCAGCCATACATTTAAATAAAAGACCAGGCATAGGATGGCTCTCAGTGTGACAGTTAGAAAATCTGACATTGGTATTCAATGGTAATTGGCTGTGTTTGTGTGTTTGAATACTTGCGTTGGGAATTTCATCCCTGTTTTGTCAGACAGAGGTATCAAACATAAGGCCCGGAGGCCAATTCGGCCCTTTGGATACCTTTGGAGAATGTGAAGGACATACATTTTGGACTTTTAACTGTAGTTTCACAAGTTTTACAGCTTTTCCTATTTATGAAGACCTTTGTCACATCCAGTTATATTAAATCAAAATAGTTAAGTTATACATATCTGTATTTTACACATTTACTACTTACAGTTTGACCCCATAGTTATGACAGATATTTTCCATTTACTACAGAGGCATGTAGAAAAAATGAGTGAGGGGAATTTCACTGTTCCAGCCCACATAAGATCAAAGTGGGCTGTATTGGCCCTAGATATAAAATGACATTGACAGCTGTGATCTAGGCTGTCTGCACCAGGGAAGCACATACTGTGCACATCCATGCTGTGTCCAAGAATCCATTAGCTTTAACATAAGGGCTTTACAGCAGATAGGGACATGGTCTGCACTTGGCCTCAGCTAAATACTATAAACCATAAACTTACAGAATGTAAATGGCTAATTCTGGTTTGGGGGACTCTGTGTGTGCATATGCTACTGTGTGCATTATGAAGAAAGGGAAGGAGCAGTAGTGTCCTCTTCTTAAAACAATTTACAAGTGTAACATGTCAATCATAAAACTCCTCGTGTTCTGTTTCGTATTTACGGACGATGTTCCAAAGGGACTTGTAGTAAAGCAGTATTAGCTGACGCGGGACCCTCCAATTTAGAAAGTCACGACTCCTGTTATGAAGTCAAACTTTTAGGAGTCTAGTGGGATTTGTTTAACGCAGGCCAGCGCACAACTGTGCAATGTAACCCCCCACCCCCAAACACAGACACACACGTATTGTTTTGATTTGCCAAAAAGACCGGAAAATACGTTTTTGCATCTTTCTTTGTGCTTTTTAATCACAAGCAGCTCTGTCACAGCATCTTTAGCCCAGCCACTACAAATGCCACACATTTAACCCAGGAGGGAACTGTTGGACTTGGTCAGCGAAGAACAGCACCCTAATGGGCAGGGCGCCTGTCAAAGTCAATGCATAATAACATTCAGGGGCGCACACAAACATACCCACACAAACACGCACACACGGGCAACAAGGTGTCAGGGAATCATTAAAAAAAGAAAAGAAAAGACTTCCCACCTTCTTTTTGCGGTGGCATGAGAACGCTGTTCAGTTTTTTGGACGCGGGACTCGAACACACTCCCCGTCCCTCCAGGAGAGCCTGCAGGGGTCTGCTCTCCCCGGGCTGGTGCCGACAGGTCAAGCCGGAGCCGCAGCGCCCCGTGTACACTCCACACGGTTGTCCCTCTCCGAGGGCGCACGTCATGCAGCAGCCGCAGCCGGGCTCCTTCACCCGCTCCACACAGTCTTTGGGCAGCGGCTTGCACTGCAGGAGCGCGCCGGCGTCGCAAGGCTCACATCGAACCACGGGGCCCACAGTGCCGGCGAGCCGGGCGAATGCAGCCAGCGCGGCAACCAGACAAAGCACACAGACATCGGGCATTCTACCGATTAAGCTGGTCACAAAGGGACAGTATGTGAGTTGTCACGTAGGCTTAAGGGGACTCTCTGTGACACAGCGAGCTGGCTAGCCTTCTCCATCTGTATTTTCTTTTACGCGAAGTTCTCGTTTTTATACAGACAGAAAAAAACAGCCAACAGGTCACACCCTCCTCCGTATGAATAATGTAAATGGAGAGCCCCGATATGAGGGACCGCTATATCCAGTCTCGGGTGGGGGTGAGTGGGGGGGCAGCCGCTGAAAACATTCAACTCTTTGAATCCTTTAACGTATTTTACTGAGTTCTGTTCATTTAGTGCGCTTCCAGCTCCAAATCTGCTTCGTCCATGTGGTTCCCCTGTAAAAGGAAAAGTCAAGTTATGTCAGCAGGTTGAAGCTGTTGGCTTTTTTATATACTGTTTACCAGTATAAATCACTTTCATTTTCATTTTGCAGATAAGACAACAAACTGCACCAAGGACAGTTCTCATGTGGTGACGGCTCCCAAAACTCCGGGTTTGGGAATTTGAGGGTTCTGCTCCACTGGTCGCATCTCCTGCTGGCATTAATCCTATGTGAGTGAGTGCCACTGGTGTTACCCCCAGCTCCCCCACCACACCCACACGCAATACTGATAAAACATTCCTCTGGGTAGGTGTATAGGTGGCCTCATACTATAACAATAATTTCTTTGCATATAGTGTTTGCATAAGTGTGACCGCATGCTGGACTGTGGGTGCAGCCAAAGAGGTATTGTTTAACTGCTCTGGTCTGCTAAAGCTGCAGAGATTGGATGCACATGCCAGCTACCAAGCACGTGCAGACCAGACTGCATACCTGACCCTTTTTCGCTCGGTATCCAGACCCCCTTGTGCCTTTCCTCCTGGATGCCTCCACCCTGTCATTGACCCCACAGGACTTCCAATTATTAAAAAGAAAATGTTGTGATTGTGCAGGCTCAGCATCTGCCCCCCTCTACGTTCAGCATATCCTTGTGTTCTGCAATAACAAACGCAAGACGGGGGCACACGCTGAGAAAATAAAGTAATAAGTATAGTCCGTTGTGTGATTTCCACCACAGAAGCAGAAAAAGTGTTGAGACTCTATTATGAAAAACAAGCACTAGGTAAGGAAACACCCCCAGAATAGCGAGAAAATGTCTCCAGCTGAGATTAGTTTTCTCATTACTTGACATGTTTTTTCTCTTTTTGCATTTTTCAGCTTTTTTTGCATCTGAAATATTTAGCTTCTGATCTGTGGCTTGTTTATTGTCTGCCCATCTGTCCAGGGTTGGGTTTAGCTAAACATACAGTTTAGACGAATTCAGCAAAAAGACACTTTTGGAAAACTGTGTCCACTTCGTAAGAATACAGAAAACTTCTGGTTTGTGTCTGTAAGGGGTGACCGGGTTCATTGTGATGCGTTGTTATTGTTTGGCTCGCTAAACCAGCCCTCATATAAAACATGTAAACAGACTTGATATGCTGTTCTCCAGTTTTATGACAATTTGCTTGATTAGATATTGCGAAACGCAAAACATATACAATGGCATGTGGCAAAGGTAAACAGACATTCACTGGATCCTCCTGATTTCAAGATTCAGGAGTCAGAACAGAGTATGTTGTAATTTGCCTCGGGACAGTTTGGGTATAATAAAATGATAAAATGAAATCAGATAACTGCTAGCAAAAACATGCACATCTCATTTCCTAAACCATATGTTCAACTCGTCTCTGTTGCAGTTTCAGCAAACTGCAATAAGAGATACTATTTGTCTCACTCAACAATCTTGTCTTGGTCTTGCATCTGCACTTTTGTCTTTCACCCTCTCTGTCTTCCTCTGCCTCGGGGAATCTGATATCCTTTGGTTATTAATCTCTTCTTTAAAGTGTCCCAGTCAACATTCCTTTGTGATACAGTTTCACAATGCAGCACATTTCAGGCCATAAATCATTAATTGGAAACACAAAGTCACTGATGGTCTTCAGTAACACTGGCACAATGTACATTATAATTTGCGGTTTTGTGAAGCCCAAAGGTTCTGAGCTGATTTATTTATTTCCTTCTCCTAAGAGTGATTCAAGAAGTGAATTTCCTTTCTGTCAACATGTACTGTCTTCATATTCAGGCTATGCCATCAGCAGGCACTGCACTCACTGACCACATTATGACCTGCAGATCACTTCATATAAAAACACTCATTTTACATTCTATTCATAGATCACGTTGACAGCACTGTTACTTAGTGATATGTTACTTGGCTGACTTTCAAGCCCATCACAGTGTGCTGCAGTTAGCCTCTAGTTTGCTTACAGGAGATCTTGTTTTCTTATCACCTCTTCTTTTCTTTTCTTTTTTTTTTTTTTATCAAGAAATAGTGGAAAGAATGAGATTGGCATAGATTTTGTTGGACTTTAAATGTGACCCACAAAAAACACTAGGTCACCTTGCTGTTAGCAATAATGGGATACTGGTGGAGCCCCTGCACTCAGTCTGTTTCAGCCCCCCTTGTGATTGGCTACGTGTATATGAAGTCTAAAGTGGTCATAATGGTAACAGGAGCATTCGGAGCTGTGACCATACTAACTGGAAGAGCGACTCCAGCAGATTCCCAAGAGAACACCAGAGGTCTCTGTCCAGAAGCAGTCCTAGGAACAATAAAGACAGTGCACCGAGTTTCTGAGGGTCTGTTACATTACTGAAATGATGGCCAAAATTAAAATCATAAAAAAAAATATATCAATTAATATAAAAAGTTCCTCTCTTGAAAAAAGAAATGTATCCCTCCATAGTCTTTTAAGAGCAACTCATTCTTAAAGGATGACTGAACAAACGACCTAAATTTACCTGAACTCTTCTGTTCCAATTTGACTCTTCATCACAGTAAAATTAGTTCTACACTTCCTCACATATTTTCGTTTTTTTGTATCTTCCTATGGCATTAAGTGCATTCCAATGGTCGAAGTGAAATGAAAAAAAAAATCAGGCATTCCTTTAAGCAGTCAAATAAGGGTCTTTCTTATCAACAGAATCCATCCCAGCTTCACAAACATCCTCAAACTGCAGCCCAAATATTTGAAGATTTTTTGCTATGTAGTTCCACTTATTTGCACTGCTGAGCCACTTTCAATGTTAACTATTTTTCTAAGGAGTTGGGATGCTTTCCCATCAGAAGGATGATTAACATGTAATTTGTCTGAATTATGTTGACTGTGGCTTACAGAGAAAAGGCATAAATAATGTGTACTGCCAACAGCATGTTGAGGAAAATCATTTGGTGCTCTTTAACTCAACCCGGGTGCTGACAGCAAAGACAGGCCTCGTCCATCATGGTGGAACACGTAGATGGGCTGATGAAGCCGGGATCTTTTCTGCAGGCTGATAATTGCTTCTGGGCTGTTTGGGGCCTCAAATGACAAGACTGTAAAGTATGTAGTAAAATCTGGTAAACTTAGAAAAATGTAGGGATTTCTTGGTGGATCTTGGGAATCTGCTATCCCTATCATAATCAGAACTGACATTTAACATTACTGTTTAATGCTTTTAGCTGTCTTTTGACTCCAGCAAATTAAAGAAGAAGGGATGTAACCATATGTTGGATGCCAACTTGGGTGGCAGACATCTGCCTCTGTTAACCACCATCCTTGGGCCCTATCAATTTGGCTGTTTTGAGGTCAGGACTGACAGTTGAATTGTTTTCCAGAAACTTAAGGGCCTGCAGTTGATGTTACTGTAGTCACATCAGTTAGAATTTCTCTTAATGTTCCCTGATAGTTTTTTTTAAAGTTTTCCCACTTGCATAGACATGACTCTTCCACACAGCAACCAAAGTGACATAGGGATGTACATTCTTAGAAAGCATAGTGCTGACTTTTGAAACAATATACAAAAATAGAATATGTGTTTTTGTTATTTCACTTGCAAATTTGTGACACAGGTTTTGCTTCTGTAACATAATGGAGGCCTTTCCTAGAGACAATGGTACAGCTTTTTGTTGATATCAGTCAGATGCCAAGCATGCTTTCAAAACCAGCCCTTCTTTTATTGATTGTTACAATGGGGGCTGCACTTCAGGAATGAACTCATCTGTGTATCTGTTTTCAATAAATTGATGGAATGAGCATGGCTTGACGGCCCTCTGTCACTGTCTGCGTGACATGTGCAGAGAAACATCTGGAGGCAAGAAAGAAAGACAAGAAGAGGAATGTGGGGAGTTAAAAAGGTGAAAAAAGAATAAAAAAAGATCACAAGCTCTACATTTTTTAAATCAAGGAAACTACATGTAGGAGCAAAGAGACAAAGAAGTTAGGGTTTGCGTATGTGTTATGATGTGTTTGCGGTGAGGTCTGTGTCTTTTGTTGGGCTCTGTTGGACTAGAGTTTGGTATGCCTGGCAGCTCTCAGCAGGAGGTCCTGCCCAGCAGAAGCTCACTAATTGTACAAACAGGCAGTGTGGCACCTTGGATTGAACTTGTGCCTTGAGGCCAGGTACAGCGTGCTTTGGCATACTTTCAAGGAAAGATCAGAGTCATGTGCTCACAAGTGCTGATTGTCTTCAGGTCAGAAGTACTCCCACTGCGAGTTGGCGGAGGTAGGAGGTTGCTATGGGAAGGAGATACACGGCTAGACAATCTTGCCTGGCACTCTCAGGTTGACCAACTCAAGTGACACTTTCCTGAGAGTGGGCCAATTCCAGGCTGCTAAGAGGATCAGTTTCCCCTTTCTGCCATGACACACATACTCAGCTAGCACTACTCAGTAATCTTCAGGATTGCTGTTCATCAGGCACCAAATTTTCAGACACTTTTCCAAGCTTTCCTAAATTAGTGGGATTTTGCAGTATGGAATCTGGACTCTAACGGAAACAACAAAAACACGAGAAACTCTACTGGTCAGAAGCAGGCAAAGGTCTGCTACAGGAGCAAAATAGATTTGTGAGGTAAGGTATTGAAATAGGTTCTATAGAAAGGGAACATCCAGACAGAGGAAAAGCATTATGACACAGTATGTGACGTAGAGACGTGTCTAATCTTGGATCTTGGTGTAGCACAGCTTGCTCTGGGACTTCACATGCAGTCACATGACAGCTGAACAGGCAGACTAACAA